ACTCCATTGTAAAATGTTAGTTACAATTAATCGATTTCAATATTAATTAATTTTAATACGCTTTAATCATATGAACCGTTTTTATCATTAAATCTTTTATTCGACGCTGACCACGGCGACTGTAAAATAGTATCATTAAGTATTTGCAAAGAGTCATTTTTATGATTGCAATGAACGAGGTTATATTCGTGAGTCGTAATCAAAAGTCAACTTTAATTAATTGCAAAGAAATATAAAAACATCGAGACAGAAAACTTGCACGGATATTATAGTCGTGAAAAAATCACGACCACTATAATTGTATGCTTTCACGTGTGTTACCGACACGAACGATCCTTACACCGTGAGTTAAAGCTGAGATAGAGGAAGCGTTCACTCTCCATACCGGCTTTTAATGTTAAACACAGCGCGGGAGAAAACGCAACTATATAGTCTTGACGACGTGGACTTAACGGCATCGTCTTGGCTAATATATTGACGTCGATTGAGTGGTATATATATATGTATTATGGCTTATACGTCTTGGCAATATACGATGGTGGTTCGTAATATACTTTGGAGTGAAAATGTGGCAATGTATATAATACGCCGGGATCATAAATCGTGACTCTTAAAAAAGTTACTATAAGCGCAATAATATGCTCTTAAAAACATCCGTATAGGCGCTTAAATACCTATGCACACCATAACTACTAAAACGTCACAAAATAATAATGATAAGTAAAAAAAAAACTTTGAACCTTTATAAGTTGATAAAAAATTGAGTACCTATAATATTTCATCAGAATTATTTGTTGTTTAATGGTACTTAAATATTATGAAGGTTACGATACTCAAATTGATACAAAAAAATTGCATTTAAACTTTGAAATATACAAAAATATGCAACGAAAAATCCGAGTATCATGCAGTATTGCCACAAGCATTGCTTTATGGGATAATTTTAATACGTTACTATTAATAATTCGATTTAATTATAATGAACTAAAATACAATAATACGAGGCGTGTCCAGAAAGTAAGTGTACTCAATTTTTGCAGGCTTCAAAAAAATTTATTAAAAAAAAAAAATAACGTGGTTACATTAATATATTTCTGTGCTATTTTTCTACATAGTCACCATTTCTTTCAATGCAGGTTGTGAGACGGCAGATTAATTTTTTTATGCCTGCCTCGTAGAACTCTGCCGCCATCTCCTTTGTCCACTTTTCGACCGYCCCCTTCACTTCCTCGTCAGCTGAAAATTTTTTTCCACCCATGTGCTTCTTCAGGGAAGTGAACAAATGGTAATCTGAAGGCGCCWGGTCGGGGGAATACGGGGGGTGGTTCAAAACATCCCATCCAAATGAGTCCAACAATTGCTTCGTGACATTGGCYGTGTGGGGTCTGGCGTTGTCGTGCAGCAGGCAGACTCCGCTCGTTAACAGACCTCTCCTTTTTATTTTGAATAGCTCGTACATGTATATAAAAAAATAATAATAAATTCTTAAATTTTCTGTATTATACGCATTGTTCATGTATTCATTCCAATCTGGTCTCAAGTCCTTAATATTCCTTTTGACTGCATCTAACCTAACCGTTGCTTCGAACTACCACGTGGTCTTTTCTTGTTTAATGTAAACAATATTTACGATATATACCTACCATTATAACAGATAAAACTTGGGCCTGGAAAATCGAAACTAGTTTCAGTGAGGAAAGAGTCACAATGTTTAGAAGTAGTTGTGCAGTTTGTCGTTGTCTAAAACGCAATAACGAAAGTCAAACAGATCGAACTACGTTCATCGAATATCGTTCAAAAATGATAAAATATTATAATATGAAACCAATAGGTTGAGCAGTTAACTTTTTTTTTGGAGGTGGTCGGTTTCTAACTTGGGTATTCCGTAGTTGTTAAAATTCACTAAAATATGACATTATGTTACATAAGTATAAGCTCGTGGAGAATAAAAACCGAAACAAACGCAGAGACAAATTATTCAATTAACCGATGTTTATACTTATATAGCACGTATATTAATATATATGTACCTATACAAATAATACAATATGTACGATTTATACCATATTGTAAAGCAGATATCAATATGTTGTTTGAAAAAACAAAACGAGTCCTGCTATTACTCCCGTTCAGAAAGGGTCTCATTGTGTACAGTCGTTGTTGTGCAGTTCGCCGTTGTCTAAAACGCAATAAAACGCGAAAGTCCAACGGACCGAATACAAACAGTAAACAGCTGAATCACAATATTATGATACTATTATCGTGTGTACAAAATATTTATGCGTTTGCGTTCGAAATTGTAACCATACATTATTGGTTTTAGCGAATAATCGAAACCGGTCACTGAATCTCATGTATATAAATAATATATATTTTTTAATTATATCCAACATCGACTTACATCGTGCGTATATTTTAGTGCWTCGTACAACATAATCTATACGCGAGTAGTATTGAGTTTGGCGACGGATATCGGATTTATTACAATATTTGTTGTAGGATGGCGAGATCTGATTTTWWACATTTTATTTTCACTGAACATATTCAACATATTCTTTCGGCACGATATCATATTATAATGAGTATAATGACTGCACGCAATATTATTTGGGGATATTACAGCATATTTTCCCCACTCTTCTGGTCATTAATTTTGTCCCTTTTAGGATTGATTTCCCGGAGATCATTGATTGCGGCATACTATATAACTTTAAATGCTTAAATTTTATTTCGAGAGTTATTTATTTCGAAGTATCGCATTGGTAATTATCGTTACTGCCATGAATTCGTTGAAAAATGCATTGAGATGTTGCATGTTCAGCACATCGTTTGTTATAATTATATATACTCGATCAATTATACTATTATTAGTTTAAGGGGAAATTGAYGACGAACTTGATACAAAAATATTTTTATGCGTCTTATATATATAGGACGCGACAGAAAACACTRAAACATAATATTTGCAAATCATATTGTAGAGATTATTTACAATAATAAGATCAATAATTGTGCCACCACTTGACCGAAAATATTGATTGTATACGTAAATTTGATTTTAAATCGTTTAAATTGAAGAATTTCAAAAAAGCGTGCTAAAAAACAAAATATGGCGCGTGATAATGAGTAAGGACMCTCGTAAAATGTAAACWGGGAGTGGCGGGAGGTGTGGCAAAYACAAAAGTCTCTGATAAAACAGCACATTATTTTTTATTGTTTTTGCTTAAATTCAACAATATCTACTTTTTTTATATCATGTCGTTATTTTTCCGGTACTCGAAGAGCGTCGAACAGACTGACTTCCACATCTCTTCAGTGTGGCCCATCAAAAAGTACACATCACGCACTTACGCATTTCACCCGGGCATCACTTTTTATTTTTTAAATTTAATTTCGTTCATACTCTAAGGTACCTTGACTTCTGCCCACCCGTCCACCCACTCACATATWCACCATGTGTTATTTAATGTGCGGTGGCCRTCGCGCAACGACGGCATAAAAATTGTGTTGAACTCGCGACGGCAACTATTATATTATGTAAAATAATATTTATAATATACATTATTAATAAATCGTACACCACCAATACGCCTATACGTTTATGTTCTCRCTGCTGCAATATTGTGCCCAATGGCATAGTTGAAGGCGGAATGGGGACATATCCTTTTTTGTTTTTTAATTAACGATAATCAAATTCCCGTAATCACTTGACTTTTAAAATTTTAAAATAATGAATAAGAGTTCATGGACATCTTCATAATTGAGATTTTTATTTTTATTTACTAGTTTAAAACTACTTTATCTCAGCGACTTTTATATAATATAACGATAAAATTGTACGGCTCATACTCATAACATAACTTTAAAAACCATTATTATTTTACTTAATTTAATTTACAATAACAAATTAGTGTAATACTATGATCTATGAAATTCAATTGTCGAGGGGAGTGTGGAGGACAAAGCCCCTCTGCGCTATAGGACGATAGTATATTATATATATACTTTACTTATATCCCACCCAAGAACCAATTCTAAATCACGCCACTGATTGTTCCATGCACCGTTTTGCTTGCGTACCACAYGCAAATATTACTGTAGAGCTCCCCACAATTTATATTTATGTATTTATATAGTTTCGAACGCGTTAAGTGCTCGGCGTGGATATAATATAATTACTGTTAAATTCGGATCGAGCCGCACGAATTATGTGCGTGCCATTAGATTTCGTTCTATCGTAACCCGCAACCCGAGCCTGCGACCATTATTTTTCTTCGTCTCCAACGCGTTCCACTTGTATGGTACATATTCTACGACGATCATTCCTCCCGTGCGGGCTTGTCGGGAGGGTAGGACAATAACGATCATTACTATAAAACGACGCTGTATAATATGTAGCCGCGTACAACACGACTAGACTTTAAGCCACGCGTACCATACCATATGTGTGTGTGTGTGCGCGCGCGTGGGTGGGTGAGTGTTTTTAAGTGTATGTGTGAGCGAGTGTGTTTGCGTGTGTATGGCGAGTGTGTGTTGGTGTAACTAAGCGTGAAATTTCTCTACAAGCGCATCGCTACACGGTTCTCCCGTCGCAGTCGTCGTTTCCTTCCGTTTTTATTTTCGTTAGTCACGCGTGTGTCTGTCCCGGACGATATGATTAATAGAACACAATATTCGGCACAAGCTCTCCTCGCGCTCGTGAGTGTGTGTTTACCGGCGTGTTTTAGCTTTTCCACAACGGCAATTTGTCAACTTGACAGYCGCTTCTCTAGTTCATTCCGCCGAAAAGCCGAGATGGTTTACGGCATGTGTGTATAATACGCAAATAATATAATAATAATAATAATAATAATAATAATAATAAAAACAACAACAACGCTGAAACGTACAACTAAATAACGACGTAATACTACGCGTATACACGTGACCTATATAGATAATACTAATTACAATATTATATTTATTCTTTTATTCATTATGTGTTTGTGTGCGTGTTACAGAGGAAATTTGTTGCGGGAAAAAGGCGACGCCGAAGCAGCCGTATCAAGTTACAAAAATGCGATCAGATACCGACCATCGCTGGCAGGTAAATAATATTTGTATATTATGTATTATAACGCAATATTACTATTATTATTATTATTACTGTTATTGATATTATTACCCTCGGAAATATGAGCCATTGGATTTAAAAATAATTCAATATTATATTATTTTTGTGTTCATTTGACTTGGTTTTCTTCAGTATACTGTACTACAACGATCACACAGTTCTGTTATGTAATATTCTAATGCATATTGTTACAAATGTCAGCACCTCACAATAATATTATATCGTCAAAGTTAAAAWATAAATTCATCGTTTACGATAATATTATATTGGTAAATAATAATTATTAGCACCTGGTCACACTGTGATTTAACCTGCCGTAGATTCCGAGTGGTGTTATAACACCACGGTTCTTACGCTACCGGCTGACTGGCCTGTGGACACGAAATATGACTTAATTGATTCAAAAACTACTGTTTAGGAGGCAACGTAAGAACCATGACGGTAACATCGTTCAGACTCTACACCAAAAACACCCTTATCCATAAGTCTTGACATTCGTTTGGGCTATTTTAGCGAATTTCGGGAAAAATTTAATATTACAGTTGATAAACAAATAACGTCTAATTTTCTATAAAAAAAAAAAAATCGAGTAATTAGAATCTTTTATTATAAATATAATTATGATTTATTGTTACTACAAAAAAATTGTATTCATACCACGAAAGTAGACCGAAATAATCAGTTCTGCATGTCAATAAATGTTAATACATAATTATTTTAAACGTAAATTAATATGTCGACGAAATTCAATAGTGAAGCTTATTACGAAACAAAAAATTACAGTTTCAAGAGTAAAATTATCGATATAATAATATGTTATTTACAAAACACGACTTTCAAAAAGTTATTTTTTATTATATTTTGATTTCTACATGACTTTTGGTATAATAAAAAATAAAGTAATTGGGCAAAAAAAATATTCATAAAAATCAAAGCTTCTTACGTCACGCGTCGTTTAAAATTCCAATMATCATCGTGCAGACAAATAAATTTAAGTTAACATATTTAATAAATCAAGGAGTCGACAATTGCTATTTGTCAATTAAATACTTCTTCTCGAATACGAGTGTTAAAATCATTCTTTTATTYGCGGGTTGCTTAAAGTGAACAAAGCATTATATGGTACGATATGAGTTATTCACTTTTTTCAACATAGTATTGGACRTCGAACATTAACTTTGACTTGCAATGATYCATATACGGGCTATACATATAAATTAATAAATATGTATAAGTGGATTGACAGCTACAAAGCTTACATTTAATTATATTGCTACGATCACTCTTATAGTTTCCATTTTGATTTTCACCAAAACTGTAATTATTAATTGGGAACTTATGAGGTTAGTGCATTACCGTACATAATTAAATGTTGACGAAACCATCTACCGCTACAATATTATGTTACAATAATTAATTTAATGGTTGCTTCAATATTTGTAATTTGATAGAAAACGTTGTTGACAACATAAAATTAATTACAAACGTTTAAGTTTTCATTTATCTAAAATTCGATATTTTGAAATATTGATTTTCTGTTTTCCTTATATTCCCGTATAGGTACGTTTTTTAATCTTAACCAATGGAACTAATGCTAATAATTTTCCTTCAATTTTTTTATTTACGTTAAAAGAAACATAACATAATTATTATTAATTAAAATCGTCTAACCMWTAAACATGTACCTATCAAAGCAAAGATTATAAGTATGAAACATTTCACATGAAATATTGAAAAATATAATATTGAAATTTTTTTTTAATTTTTCGTTTTTATATGTTTGAMAAAATCATCACTAGATYGACACGCCGATTTCATAGCTGATTAGTGGTTATCGGTTCACGATTATGTTTTTCTTTGATTTTTATAAATGATAATAATGATAATTGATGATACTAATATAATATCATATTTATATATTATTATATTCATAATATATTAATATACGAAAATGATATTATACTAGCCCTATAAGCTGTAAATTATAAAATTATATTAAGRATTTAATAAATATAACATTTTTATTTTATTTTTATTTAAATAGGAATTATATATAAGGTTTTAACTCATAGATTATTATTATATAGGGACTCTGGTTAAAACTATATCTAATTAGTWATCATAAAATATCAAATAATCCTGAATTAAGAGATTGATATAGGTAATTCATATATTTTGAAACTTTTAAGAATGTTTATATGAATTTTATGTAATTTTTATAATATACTAGGTATGTAAAAAATATTTCAATAAAATTTCAACTCTAGATTTAAATTATTATAGTTTTTATTATTTTTCATGAAAATGAAATATTTCAACAAAATAATTTTCATGAAATTTTAGAACCCTAATTAAAATCAATCACACGTGTAATGAATAACAAAGTGTAAACGCGACCGCGTCAAGAAATATGAAAAGACGGCGTGTTGGGTAGGCATTTTAGGTACACGCCTGTCGTGGTTTGTATAATATTATTTRGTTTTAATTAATAATGATTAATGATAATAGGTGAAATCAGAGACGTGTCTGGAGACCAATACAACGAATTTGAGACTTACCTAGATAAATATTTAGTGATTTSGTCTAGACAATAAGTAGTTGGTTATGAAAGTAATAATATACAATAAATAGTTCATTTAACTATATGAGTTAATTTGCATGAATATTAATATTTAAAACAAAATGTTCTTATATTTAATTTAAAAAATGGATTAGTTATTTATGTTTTTCACTAATGATGATATATATTACAAGCTTTCATTTAAACTTTTTTGCTGTATTCAAACTATATTCAAATAGTAGCATTTACTATTTAGTAGCGATAATCTAAATCTTAAAAAGTTAGATTTCAATACATTTAAAAAAATATTTATTTTTTTATCTAGATAAATGTTGATTTGATTATCTACTATCTATATTTAGATATTTTTTGTCATATTATCYTTATTTTTATCAGGATAAAAATTATTTATCTAATCTCAACACTGGTATAATAAAATAATATAACTCAAAACTAATAAAACTAAATTCCCTGTTTTGAGAGAAAAAATTCATAAACACTTATTCGAGACACAGGATTCGACTGAAACTGTAGATTTTATATTTTATGCAAATTTATTTKTTATGTTCGTTACTCTATTTTTGAAAAGTGTTATCAAGATGGTCTCACATACGAATAATATTAAAATAGTTAGGCGTGTAGTCAATAACATGTTTATAGACATTGGAAAAACCATTTAAGTACAACACTGTTAAACGTAGTTSTAATGAAATGTTGACTATTCAATGTATTATTACTATTATACTATGCTGAATTAAATTAAATTAAGATTTGTTTCGAATACATAATAATGCATTATGTTTGAAATTACATTTTTACAACACAATTAGTCTTAACATAAACAAATGTAAGTAAATTTGTCATTATATTGTTACAACACGATATCAGTATACATAATATTATGTCATTATCAATTCTAATAATTCAGGCTTTCAAAGACTCCATAMAATTTCAAATCATTTTCACCACTGTATATATTTCCCTAATTCCATTGTACGAGGTTATCACTGATTGCACTCGTTTTCACACTTCGTTGGAAAATTCAGACGAATCGGACGTGCGTGGTAATTTATATTTATATACATAAACCATATCTTTTATAGAGGGCAGAGAAGTATCATTGGAAATAATCACACCAAATATGCACTCAAAAATTCAAATGTATGCATTAAATTGAGTATCCGAGATGAATATACCGTCAAAATCAAATTTATCGTTGATTGATACTTAATTTTTGGCGCAACTTAATGTGTGTAATTTTTACTTTAGGAAAAAAACTAGTTATTATATTGACTTATATAATTTGTTTTTGAAATGCCGAAGATAAATAAGACTTAAAATAACAGCAGAAATATCATGAATTATTCATGTTATTATACAAGAAGAAATATGTGGGCATTGTAGCTTATATAATGGAAAAATAATATTTTTTTTACCAAGTGTAAATGAAGATAATAGGAATTAAAAGAAATACAATAACGATCATTATCGTTATTTCAGTGGACTGTATATAATATAATATGTATGATATACAATGGTTATTCATCATCTGTTCAATTATTATTGTTCCAAAGTTACGAATTCGACGTAGACKYGATTCGCCATCGATAAAACGTATCAACAAAATTCGGTCGTRCACATTAATGAATTTCAATTTAAACGTCAAATCATAATAGTCACACGAATAATAATAATATAATAATAATGTTTGYGCGAGATTAATCACGAAAGTTTTCCGCTTTTATTGTTTAACAAAACCTTAACGTTCGTCAGTGGTTATCGTCATTATCATAATATTATTATTAGGTAATTTATGTCGAACCACGATATCGCCGACAGATCTAAAACACTATACTAAAACGTCTGATTATGGCTCATCACTATATCACATAGCAATTTTCATCGATTCTCTCATTATCGCTGTGCAAAAGGTTTGCGATACGTACCCATATATATTATATACTTACACAGTTTTATACAGTTCAATTTCGCCAGTGATGATTTATATACGGCATGATGGCGTTACGTCCTAACGGAATTATATTATTATCTTTAATGAGTAGTAGTTGTAATGATAGAGCACATATTTTGAAGTTATAAAATAGAATAGTAAAATTTGCTGAAGTATTGCATTTAATGATAAAAATGTTTCATTATAAATATTTTTTTTTCATCGCTATTAACTTGTTATAATCTTTTTATCTCGAACAATATTTAAGTTCTGCTGAAAAAAAAATGTACAACCTAAACTACTTCCTACTTTAAACATATTGCAATGGATTAAAAGCATGTTTTTTTTAATGTATGATACGAATGAATATAAGTCAAAACCAAAATAAAATTACTCAAACAGAATACAAAAATTGCTAAGGTTGTTTTATAGACGATTCTAATTCAATAAGGTAGCAATGAA